TTTTTTTTTAATTCTAATATGACTGTATCTTTTTCATGATTTATCAACTTTATGTAATGATTCCCTGCTATGAAAGATGAGGAGTTGAGAGCTCATTTATACCTCTTCTCTACCTCTGCTAGCATTAAGTTAGGTTAATTAGAGAATCTGATAAGTATTTGTAGAGTAAATTTATAGTACCTGCAACTCCAGGCTCTCAGTGTGTGGCTTCCTGATGAGAAAAGAGGCATTCTCGTCCCACACAGGGGCTGAGGTTTGGGAAACAGTCTGGTAGGGAGGAAGTGTTAAGATCAGTGGTTGATACTTCCTCCTCTCTTCTTTTCCCTCTATCTCTTAACCCTGCAACAGTTCCCAATACCTTGGTTTTATGGGCAGTCTCTCCCACGGTAAGAATAGCATAAGTACTAGGAGGTTTGGTGCCTTTTCGGAGCTGGAAAGAAAATATTGTGTTAGTCTTAAATTTGGACCTGGTTAAGCAGCTCCTTCCCTCACAAATTATAGCCACAGCCAGTGGCCATGTCTCCATTTTCACTTGACAGCCATTACTGTCACAACCTTGGATAATCATCCCACCCTAGCACCATCCTCAAAAAGAAAGGAGCCATTTACTATTCCAAATTCACGAGGAACATTCACACCTGAAGGAGGTAGAAGGGCCAGGGAACTGAGGGATGTGGGGAACAGCTCTCACCGGCAAGTCCTCTGCCCGCTCCACATAGACAGACAGCAAGGCTGCCGCCAGCTCTGCGCTCTTCTGTGTCTGGATCAGACTGTTCACCTGTAGCACCTGGAGGAAGACACACAGGGGACAGAGGTGGGAACTGATAACCTAGTGTCGGACACAAGCTTTGGAAGCTGAGAAGAGCTCACCCTGCCTCCTCCTGGGTTCCTTTCTTCCTCCAGTCTTCTCCTTACCTCCTCTAACTCAGCTGCAGTGGGCCGGGGAGTCAGACGCTCCAGGCGCAAGTGCAGACGGCCAGATGGGACATCCTCCAGGGTCAGCCACTGTGGAAGGAGGCAGTGAAAAACTTGAGGATGTGGGGATAAAAACAAAGAGAAGAAGGCTTGGGTCAAGATCAGAAAGGATTGTTGGTTCTAATCCCATGCCCACCTCGTCAAGGAAGCCACTATTTAGCACTGTGGTGAGACTCACTTTACACCTGTGGAGAAGAAAGATGAAGACAAGAGGCAGATGATCAAACCAACACTCCCTTTCCCTGAGGTCACACTCCATGATTTACAGGGATCCATCCTGTCTGCCCACTTGAATTCCCACCCTCTCACCTGCCCAGAAAGTCATCCTTGTCCAAGTCCTTGTCAAAGACTTCAACCTCTAACTCTTGGCCTGGAATTGATGTGATAATCACCTAGTAGGGGGAAATAGGGTGAATGAACTCAAGGACATTTTACTACTAAGCTACTTCCCAACTTTTTTTGAGACAGGATCTTGATAAATTGGAGGCTGGCCTCAAACTTGAGATCTTTCTGCCTCAGCCTCCTTAGCTGTTGGGATTACAGGTGTGTGCCACCATACCCAGCTAGCAACCCCAGAAGTTTATGAACTACTCTCAGAACTGGGGGGGCAGGGAGAATGGGGCAGGCTGAGGCTCAGTCAATTCTGACCTCAAAAACCTCATTCCAGCGAGGATTGAGATCTTCCCGAACAACACGGCTCCGGAAACTTCTTCCTGCCAGCTTTAGCTTGACATAGGGGTCTGACTTGCCCTTCACCAATCCCCCTAAGAAACGGTCTTTGGCAATCAGGTCCTGGGCCTCTAATACATGGAGCCGAAGCACATTCTGCAAAAGGGACAGATGGGGCACCAAGTGGCAGTTAAAGGAAACACAATTTCTCAGAACCATTGCTTACTTAGGGTATACAAATAGACCCTAGTGCTTTCCAGATATTAACTTACTTCAGTCCCAAAGTGGCTGTCAGGAGTTGTGTGACTGGGCCGAGGCGGAGTGTCCACACTGCTGCCTGTCTGGGGGCTCTCATTGTCTAGGTCCCAAGAACCAGACCCAGTGGGAAAGCAGATTTCTGATGAATTCAAGTACAAGATCTGGGAGGGTAGTATGGTTACCAAATCAAGGAGGTGCAGTTAGCCATCAGCAGGCAAAGGTAAGCGGAGATTGGTAGACAGAGCCCTGGCTCTGACAGGGGAACCAGGTCCCTGACTTGGTTGGGCATATCTCTATAAGATTGTTTTCACACCTATCCCCATCAGACCTCCCCCTGTCACATTAATCAACAAACTTTTTTTTTTTTTTTTGGTATTGGGGATTGAATCCAGGAGAGCTTCACCCACTGAATCACATTCCCAGTCCTTTATTTTTCATTTGAGACAAGGTCTTGCTAAATTGCTGAGGCTGGCCTTGAACTTGAGATCCTTCTGCCTCAGTCCCTTGAGTTTCTGGGATTACAGGTGTGTGCTACCCCAACAAAAATTGCCTGTTAGCTGCTTCTACATATACCAGCTCACTTAGTCTTAGCAGGCTCCCCTTCCTTACTCTGACTACTGAGGAATCCACAATCCTTTCCCCACCCCTCAGCACTTCTTCCATTTCCATACCCGCATGACTAGTTTCATGTAGAGCCTGGAGTTTAGGCCAGAGCTGCTGAGCTGGAACCACTGGTCCAGGGTAAGTTCAGGGGCAGTGAGCAGACGAGCCAGAGGCAGAGTTAGTGACCCTAAAGTCAGGGCCCTGGAGTCATCCTTCACCTACAGATACAGGAGGAAGAAATGTAGTGAAGGAATTAGAGTAAAGGGAGGCACATGGGAAATCATAACACAGCCCCAGTTTCATTCCTCTTTCTACCATCACAAACTTTTGTTCCCTTCAGAGCTATCTCTTTACAGTCCTCTAGCCATGCCAGGGTCCCTCTTACCTTTGCTCATTCTGTTCCCATTACTTGGAAAATTCTCATTTTCCTCCACCCTGCCTATTTAAATCCTACATATACTTCAGGGCTCAATTAAAAGTCTACTTCCACAGGGTATGGTAACACACACCCGTAATCCCAGCAGTGCAGGAGGATTGAGAGTTCAATGACAGTCTCAGCAAATTAACAAGGCCCTAAGCATGTGGGGAATAAAAGCCATATTTCTATTAAAAAAAAAAAAAGGCCCTAAGCAAGTCAGTGAGACCCTGTCTCTAAATAAAATACAAAAGGGGCTGGGATTTGGCTCAGTGGTTAAGACCCCCTGGGTTTAATTCCTAGTATAAAACCAAAACCCAAACTAAAACGCTGGCCAGTAAGTGCTATATAGGCAGACACTGTTTCATGCTTTTCTGTTTTTCTTTCTTCTTTTTTCTCTAATAGTGGAGATAGAACCCAGGGCCTTGTGCATGCTAGGGAGCACTTTACGACTGAGCTACATCATACCATTCATATAATGCTTCTTCTTGTTCTTGGCAATACTGGGGATTGAATCTATGGGTTGGGTGCTCTATCTACCACTGACTCTATCACTAAACTACATCTGCAGCCCTCTATATTATTTATTTTGAGACAATGTCGCCCAGTGGCACACATCTGTAATCCCAGCATTTGGGAAGCTGAGTCAGGAGGATTGCATGTTTGGTGTTTTTTTTTTTGTAGATGGAATTCATTCATTCATTCATTCATTCATTCATTCATTTATTTGTATGTGGTGCTGAAGTTCGAACCCAGTGCCTCACACATGCAAAGCAAGCAATCTACCTCTGAGTTACAGCCCCAGCCCGAGGATTGCAAATTTGAGGCCAGGCTTGGCAACTTAGTAAGACCCTGTGTGTCTCAAAAAATAAATAAAAAGGATTGGGATATAGCTCAGTGGTAGAGCACCTCTGAGTTCAAGCTACCATACTTAAAAAAAAAATGGGGTCTCACTAAATTTCCCAAGCCAGACTTAAATCTGTGATCCCCCCTGCCTTAGCCTCCCAGCAGCTGGGAATATATGACATTCTGCCATCACATCTGGCAAAAATCACTCATCTTAAGTATACAATTGTCAATTATAAAAACTGATTCTGGGACTGGGGGGTGTAGCTCAGTAGTAGAGTACTTGCCTAGCAAACAAATGGTCCTTGGGTTCCATACTAAGCACAACACCACACACAAAAAAGAAAAGAAAGAAAGTAAATAGGGATCAAAGGAGAGACGTAATAGCATAGATTTGGGAAAAAAGAATAAGGTGAATAGTGATTATCTCACCTGAACATCGAGCTCCTGGCTTCGAGGGTCTTGCAGGAAGAACCGGAAAGCTTCCTCCCATACTGGGCTGTTGGTGCTATAGACAGTCTGGAGATGGGGAGGGTGGTATGAATGACAGCCTCATTCCCATTTCTCCAGAAAGTACTTGCAAGCTTTCTGAAGGGAAGCCTTCATCTCAAGAACAGGCCCCCTCCCATGTCACACCCCCACATGTCCTGACTTTTACCTTGCTCTCCTGAGTCACATCCTGAATTGACAGTTGTACCATGGGGTTGGGTTCTTTGTTCATCTTCTTCAGCTGTGGGGGTAGAATTCAAAGGTCAGCATCTTGGGAGTTTGGATTTTGGTGAAAAAAGGTAGGATCATACCAGAACTCTTCCCTGAGGTGGACCTTTGTGGAACCCCTGCATTACAGGTTCCTGCTTCTACAGCAAGGAAGTCAGGGTCATTTGAGTCCTCAGCAAAAGAGAGTATGGGAATGCTGCAGCCAAGTCTCCCCGTTCATCCACACTAGAAGCAAACTCACAGGAAGATCTTGGGCCCGATCCAGGTAGACAACTAGGATGGCAGCTGATGGGGGATCTGGTCGAGACGAGACTCCTCGATTCCACTGTAGAACCTAGGAAACAGGAAGTAAAAGTCAGACCCTGTTTCTCTTAATCCCTACTTCCAATATCACTTCCCTGCTGGCTTCCTTTTTCCCGTATGGCTCACCTGCTCCAGTTTTTCTGCATCTGGCAAAAGTGACAGCCATTCTAACCTCAGGTGAACTTGGCCTTGCCCACCTTGTAGAGGGAACCACTGAAGGGAGAAGTAGAAGAAAGTGAGGTGTAGTGGAGGTCAGATATCTACCCAACCACTTCTCTACCATTGAAGCAGCTAGTGTCTGCCAAAGGGTAAGATCTCTCCCATTTTTCTCTTTCCTCAACTTACATCATCCAGTACTCCAGCCTGTAATACCTTCCCTACATCCAGCTTCATTCTGGGAGGCAGGGAGAAGAGAAGGTATGGAGAGGGAGAAAAGGGGAGTGTTGTAATTTGTAGCATGTCAATGACCCTTCACTCACCCACCCAGAAATAACTGGCAGATCACCAACACCCTTCTCTGAGATATTTGTATGTGTGTATCCATGGGTAGGGAAGGAAAAGGAAATGTGAATCCCAGTCCCAGAAAATGACTATAATTACCTCTGGGATCTCAGAATCTTAACATAAGTAGAGACTTACCTTCCCAGAAAGTCATCTTTATCTGGATCCTTGTCAAACACCTCTACCTCAATTTCCTGCCCTGGGACCTCATGTACTATCACCTAGAAGCACAGATGGATAAAGGTCTCCTGGGCTGCAGCTATGATGATAATCCAATCAGCATCTTCTTCCTTAACCTCTCAGGGCCTTCCCATTTTGCACAGGCCTCCTCGCCCTTGGCTTCCTACCTCATATGTCTCTCCCCACTTAGGGTTGAGTTCCTCATCGATGACACGACTGCAGAATGTCTGGGTGCCCACACGCACAAGTGCATAGGGATCTGACTTGCCTTCAATTAGGCCCTTCACGTATTTGTCCTTGGAACTCAGCCCTTGAGCAGCCAGCAGGTGAATACGAATAATGCCCTGGGGTTAGGAATCAGTTGGTGAGAAACTTAAGAACTCAGCACATGCTTTTTTAAAAGAAGAATCTATCTGAATGGGGAGAGGCCATACCCTGGGCAGAGGGGAACGCAACTGGGCCACATCTTGAAGGTCAGGTACAAGGGGCACCAATAGTCGGTTGGGCAATACAAGGAAGGCAGCAATGGAATCCATGATCATGGTGTCAGAGAGTGAGCTAAATAGGGGAGTGGAAAAGAAATATAGCCCCACCTTCCATTTTTCCCTCAAATCCAAATTTGTTACTGCAAAGAGAGACCTAAAGTTATAAGGAAGTCTTTTCTTGAAAATCCTTTTGCTACTCTTATATCCAAATTTCTCACCTACTGCTCTATATCTTCTTCATCACCATCCCAGCTTTTCTCTTTTTGCCCTGCTTGAGCAGTCTTCAACCCTCTTTATTCCCTACCCAAATGCATGCTCTTCCCATAGAAGGAAAACCACAGTATTAAACTTTTCAGGAATATTTTTCTTATCTCCCCAACTACAGGGGACAAGTTATATCTTTTACTGTTTTATAGTCCTTAAACCCTTAACCCAGGGCTAGGATACTTAGCAGGTGCTCAGTAAACCCATAATACCTAAGTCCTGGGATATCCAGCAGGTTAGTCATCCCTGTCCAGTTGATGTCCAGGGTCTGGAAGGAAAGGGCAGGGGGTCAGGCTAGCACCTATGGGTCACAGTCACACCCAACCAATAATCACTAGGCCTCTCCGCTTTTTGTCAATTGCCTTCTCACCCTCCAAATCCTGCTTCTCCACCATCCCCCTCAATGTTTTCCCTTACCGGGCGTCGAATAAAGAACATTGACACAGCTCCCACAATAGGAAGGTCCCCCACGAGTGGCTCAAGAATCACCCGCAAGATGCCATGTAGCTAAGGCAAGAAGACCAAAGCTTTCCCTCAGAAAAGGCATGCAAACTTCCCCAATCTTGGTTTTTCCAACCTCCCACTTCCTCATATCCCATTAATTTCCCTCCCAATTCTAATATGAGGGCCCCTGACATCTGTCCTACCTGCATGCCTTTTACTCCTGCTTTGCAGAAATATTTTTTTACTTCCACATCAATCTGCACATCACCTACATAGCTGAGGGTTGGTGAAAAAAAGAAGGTTAACACTAGGCTGAAGTGGGGTAGGGGGTGTGTGAAGCAGCCGGGAGTGACCAGGACCCACTGCAGGAAGAGTGATGAATGGCATTACCTAATGTTCAAGTCCAGCAAGATCTGGTCTTTTCTCTGACTAGGGTGAACTTTGACTCCTATAATGCGCAATGGCTAGAGAGAGAGGAAATCTCAAGAGAGGCAGAAGCACCTCACCTCAGCCTTCTCCAGCCTGCTCCCCTTCATCCTCCCTGTCCCATCTCCTCCCACATATACCTTTTCACCCAGTTCCACTCGTGTAAATGTAAACGTTTGCAGATGAGGGTTAGATCCCCGAACAGCTGGGGCCACAGTTTCAGCCAGAAGTTTTTCCATATACTGGCCTAAGAAGGGCCAAACCTGTGCAATGATCTGGGAGAAAGGGAGATGGTCAGAGGAGAGGCCCATTTACCCTCTAAAGACAAGTTCTTCCAGAATCCTACCCATGGGAAGTACTGGGGACTAGACTCAGGCTAGAATTAATGTGTGGCAAGGCCTGGCCAAAGGAACAAATACCCATTGTCCCTTCTTTGGAAATAAATATCAGGATAGTCCTCACCTTGTTTAGCCATTCAGCCTTTTCCACATCTGGAAAGCTGACCTGCAGGTAGGGAAGTCAATGACAGTGTCAAACACACCTTCCATCTATGTTTCCTAAGAAGTTTGTGGAATGCCCACAAAGGAGAGGGAACATGTCCATACAACTGGGACGCCTCACACCCAGAACTAGCAGGGGTGGGGGTGTCCTAAGGTTTCATTTCTCAGAATTTGGGGGATCTGAAGCTCTCAAATAAGGGGAGCCAGAAGGGCATGGGCCATGTAAAGATGCTTTGTGGATAGCTCAATGATGTGAAATGACAGATGTTGGGTCAGAGGAGGAGGAGTGGAGAGGGCACATTGCTTCTGGAAGGAGAGGTCCTGTCAAATCAGAGCTGAGGGAATCCTGGGATTCACAAAATCCTGATTCCTTTGTCCAGCCTTCCCTTCTCCCTTTGGAATAAACTGGGACCTCCATCCCAAGCAGGTGAAAAAGAAAGCAAATCCTTAATGAGAGAGGGGCTAGAAGATCTGTTCAGGCTGTGTGGCTGTGTGGCTGTGTGTGTGTGTGTGTGTGTGTGTGTGTGTGTGTGTGTGTGTGTGTGTCTGTCACTCTTACCTCTCTAAAGCATTTGTTTGCAGTTCTTCTTTGTCTGCAGGATAGGAGGACAATGGTATCTGCCTTCCCTCCCTGTGCAACCTCTCCCCCAACACACACACTGTTTTGGCTTTTTTTTTTTTCTCCTTCTTTTTTTGAGTCAGCACTTAAATTGCTGAAGCTGGTGTGGAACCTTCAATCCTCCTGCCTCAAACCTCAGGCTCCTCAGTAGCTGGGATTACAGGTGTGAGCCACCTCACTCAGCTTTCCTTCATTGTCTTGGAAAAGGGATGCTGTGGCCTAGCAAATCCCACCATACCCATATATATGTTTTCTTCAGCCCTTTCCTCAAGCATATCCTCTTTGTTTTTCTGTCTTCCTGGGTGACTCCTTTCATGGGAAAGGGCACCTGTGCTCTGTATGGATGTATGGGATGAGGAGTAGCTGGAACAGACAGTTGCTGCCTAGGCTACAAGTCCCTAGGACCATTTCTCCTCCTTTCTCTTCTCCAGTTCAGCCTGGAAATGTGCCTATATGTTCGTAGTTTCAACTTGATTCCTCTCTTCTGCCATCTCCCACTAGACTGTACCTCTGCTGGGAGGAGCAGGAAGGAAGGCTAGGAGGGGCCCGTAAACCGCCTTGCCTCTGCAGGGCCAGAGAGAAGGCATCTGCCTCAGCACTGGAGAGGAGAGCAGAAATAAGGGTTTGGGTCAACCGAACAAGAGAACAAGCGCAACGACAATCCGGAAAAGGGTGGGGCCAGACAGGAGCCAGTGCAGTGGGGGCAGCGGGAATTGCAGCAGCACACTGTCCTCTTCCCAGCACCCGCTCCCTTGACCCAGCAGCTGTCTCCGCTACACTGCAGCCGGGCTGCTTGAGGCTGAAAGGCAACCACAGTCAGCCCAGGTTTTGGGGATCATTTAAGCAATGCTCTGAGGGCTGGGGATAAGATCAGGAAAAGGGGAAAACCAAATAAAAAGTCTTGAGGAGACAAGGAAAGGGGAGGGAACCTCTGAGCAGTAAAGGGGACCGAAATACCCAGGGGCAGAGTAGCAAGGGCGTCAGGGGTACCAACAACCAGGAGTAGCGTTCAAGATGGCCTGGCTTGCGACCAGATATTGTCTGGCTATTGCCCAAGAGTAGAGGAAGAAGTCCTGATTCTGTGAAAGGACCCGATTCGGGTGTGCGGGGAGAGTTGGGTAGTCCTTCCAACTGTGGCGAGTCCCAACAGGCAAGCGGCTAGCGGGGCAAGAGGTATAAATCTGGGGCTCACTGTCCCAAGTTGGGGAGCTGACTCTAGGAGTAGGGGCAGAGCTCAAGAACAGATGGGGCTGTGCTGCACAAGGACTGAAGTGGGTAGCTCACCCAAGCAGGTAGCTCTCGATGACTCATATAAAGGGTTTTTGCTGTGAGCCGCTCCTCGTCGTCCAGTAGCTGCCTTGCTGCCCGAAGGCTCCTCTCTTTCTCGTCGCGGACCCTGCGCCAACCCAGGTAGAGGGCAAGGCCGAAGAGTACGAAACCCACGCTGAGCCCCACTGCCCCAGCCAGGTACACGGGTACCAGCACCAACAATCGTCGCCCGAAGGAAGTCAGCACCGCCAGCACCTCACCCGCCGCGCCTGGGCCAGCAGGTGGGACCCCAGAACCTGGGTCCGGCTTAGTGTGCGCAGCAGGGGGCTGGTCAGGGGGCTCAGAGAGAGCAGCGGGCTGGTCCACCAGGTTGGGGCTGGGACTAGGGCCCTCTCCAGGAGACCGCTCCATGGTGCCAACTCTGGGAGGACCCTCCCGACCCAGTCACCCGCTAAAGATTTCCTAGTTTTGAGACCAGCTCCCCCCTTGCAAGCAGAGATCCCCAGGTTGGGGGAGGGGACCCAGGCCACGCCCCTATCCCTGACAGTTTGGGTTGGTTCGCGCTGCATATACCGAGGTGGAGTCAAAAGGTTGAAACTCCGCCTGTCTTCTGCAGGAAAGGGAGCGAGCTTCGGAGAGGCAGGACCTCCCTGATTGGACAAGAGTGTCAAGATAAGCGGTCTGGGATGGCGGGAAAAAGAGGAAAGGGGCTAAAGGACTGCATTCTATTGGCTGTAAAGAGGAGAAGGAGTGGCACACTATTTAAAGCTGGGCGGGACTAAGTGCTCCTCCCACGTGGGATATAGCGCCTGTGGTATGACGTCATGCAGAGCCACAACCCCAATTACTCGGTTTTCGAGAGGAGATGGGTTTGCTAAGTTGAGGGGTTGTGGGTGGGTTAATATTTCCCTCCACCCATTCAGACGGTTGGGCCAGATTTAGTCTGGGATTCTTATATGTTCACTTTTCAACTTTTCCTAGTTTCGATTCTAAACACATTCCTTTATCCTTCAAAAAAAAATGTTTTTTTCCTGGCTGCCCTTATAAAAAGAAACAAAATGACCCTATTTGGAATGAATATGTTCGAAGACGGATCCTGTCTATCCTGTTCCCAGTCCTCTACCTTGTCTGTGCAGTGTAAGGGCTGACTAGAGAAAACTAGAGAATCAGAGTTGAGATAATACAGCCTGGGGAGTGGGGAGCAAAGGAGTAAACAATTGAGGCTTGATTTCCTTTTGAAAATCTCCAAGAGTTGCAAACGCCCGGCAGATTTTTATTATAGATGGAGACCAAATTGGCCCCAAGAAGGGGGGAGGACTCACTGCAGAAATAATTACAAGAAATTCCAAGAATTTCTTGACTTTGAGGAGCTTCTAGGACATTAAAATGAGAAATCAAGATAGTGAGAGGATTCAGTTTCTCATTTTTCTGAATTAGAAGATTTGGAATATAGTCAGATGTAGAATTAACATATTCTACATAGTACTGTGTAGGTTTAGGAAGGAAAAAGTTCAAGGTACACTGGTGTTTATTGTTACCAATTTACTTGCCTTAGAAATATAGTGTTGTCCAGGGACCTAGAAATTCGATTAATTGGAAACTAAGGGAAGGGTTTATCATAAAATGATTACCTCTTAACGACGCACATATGGGTCTTGTGTAATTTAGTCTGATGCAGCAGGGGAACTAGAGTTGGTTATTGGGGAGAGACTAGATCTGCAGCTGGAAAATTTTATCTGGCTCTGCAGGGCATAGATTTCATCAGGCTGTTTCATCAAAGCTACTTAAAGCTTCCCTCCCTTAATCTTTTCTCACTTCCCTTTCTGTACTTCCCTGGGGCTGCCAATATCTAGACTGCTTTACTCTGTGTGCTGAACGATATAAAGAATAATTTTCTATCTGATGCCCATGTTCTCCATATTCCCAGAGATGAACAGGTAGAAAAGGGAAACAAGCAGCTTGGAGGGAATGTGCTTTGAATTGATGAAGCAGAACTACAGCTAGGAAATGAATAAACCTCCTTAGAAGATGACTCCCTAGAAAATGAAATTTGCAGTTAGGGATGGGATTCCAAAGGCTGGAGAAATGGGCAAGGTGACCTGTGGAAGCTCCTTTCCAAAACTTCTGCCCTTCTTCACTCCATCCAGATTATCAGACCCTCCTACTTAAGACATAACCTCATCCTCAAAAAGGTTTTTGTCCCAACTGGGAACCAGGAATCACCGAATTGGCAGCCAAAATGAAGGTAGCAGCACAAACAGGGTGGGTCTCCACCCATTGACAATTTTGCTTCCCAGGTGCCACCTGGTGGTGAAAAGCAGTAAGCGGCTAACAGGAAGGGATGGCCATTTGTTAGAGGAAGTGTCTTACAGGGTGGAGCTTCAGCGGGGGAGAGATTATCTACACTTCCTGGACTTGAAATCTATAATTGCTTTCTAGGGGAGACAGAGGGTCAGATGTGGTATTCTGGTCTCAGCCCACTCATAAAGATGGGAAGGCAACAGGATGTGAGGAAATTTTCTTCAGAACTCTTTTATAACAAGTCTGGAGTTAAGACTGAATAGATTCTTGACCCCATTACTTACTATCTGTGGAACCCTGGACAGATCGATCGATCGATCGATCTATCTAATCTATTTATTTTATTTATGGTTTCAGGGTGCTTAAGAGGGTCTTAACCACTGAGCCACATTCCCAGCCTTTTTAAATTTTGAGACAGGGTCTTGTTAAGTTGCTTAGAGCCTTGCTAAATTGCTGAGGTGGTCCTCCTAAGCCACTGGGAGGCGTGCAACACTGTACCTGGCCAGATTACTTTTTAAACCTGCTTTCTCCTCTGCAAAATGTGTAAGGTAATATCATCCACTGGGTCAGTAAATACTTCATGGAAAATGTCTTGCACAGTACCTTGCCTTACATTAAGCACTCAGAAATGCTAGCTGTTATTCTAGAACTCCCTGTTTATTTCCTGTGCAGCAACATAGGACCTTCTTCCTTTTGGCAGCCCTTTAAACTTTTGAAGACATCTATTGAGTTTCTCCTCAGTCTTCTCTTGCCCTTCCACCCCACTCCCCGCCCAGCTACTACCCCTCTGCCTTGTCAATGTCCCTCTTTAAAATTTATATTAAAGCAGAGAGTGGTGGCACACACCTTGGGAGGCTGACACAGGAGGATCGAAAGTTGAGACCAGCCTCAGCAACTAAGTGAGGCTCTAAGCTACTTGGTGAGACCCTGACTCAAAAAATACAAAAAAGGAATGGCTCAGTGGCAAAGCACCTCTGGGTGCAATTCCCAGGGCCAAAAAAAAAAAAAAAATCAGAAGAATACACAATAGCTGGGCATGGTAGTGCACACCTATAATCCCAGCAACTCAGGAGGCTGAGGCAGAAGCACAGCAAGTTTGAAGCCAGACCTGTCTTAAAATAAAAAATAAAAAAGGGCTAGGGATTTAACTCAGTGGTAAAGCACACCTGGGTTCAAGCTCCAGTACTCCCCACACCAAAAAAAGAAAAGGAAAAAAAAAAAAGAAGAAAAATTCACAGTACTTAGAAATGGTTCCATGAAGCTCATGAAGCTGGGTGCAATGGTGCATGCCTACAATTCCAGTGGCTCAGGAGGCTGAGGCAGGAGGATAGTGAGGTTCAAAACCAACCTCAGCATTGGCAAGGCAAGGCGCTAAGCAACTCAGTGAGACCCTCTCTCTAAATAAAATACAAAAATAGGGCTGGGGATGTGGCTCAGTGGTTGAGTGCCCCTGGGGTCAATCCCAAGTACCAAAAAAATAAAAAAGGAAATGGTTACATGGTTCCACTTAGGCAGAACACAGAACTACTTTATTTACAACCCATGACTAAGGCTCAACTATCCTTATGGATCTCCTAAAGCTGTACCTAGAACCTAGCATGCTCTATGAATTGACATTATGAGGACTAAAAAAAATTAGTGGGGGAATTAAGCAAGCACTCTGCCAATCTCTGCCAATGAGCTATAATCCCATCCAAGATCTTAATTTTTTAAGATCTTGGATGGGATTTTTAACTGGAAGTCCCAGACCCCCTAGTGAATTAAACATTATTATTCAGTCAAGCTCAAGGCTTTATCCTTAAGCCATATTTTGAGGGAAGAAGGGTCCAGTGTTTACTCAGTCCAAATTATGGGCTTTTTCATTATTATTTTATTTATTTATTTTTCAACCCCCAGTAGTACTGGGGATTGAACCTGGAGCCTTGCACATGCTACGCAAGCGTTCAACCACTGAACCACATACCCCCCAGCCCTTAAATTATGTTTTTCTAATATTCTTATCAAAGTTGGAGTATTACCTCCACTTTTAAAAAAATAATATAAAACATAGCCACTGGGCATATCACTACAGTCTAGAGATTTCTTGAACATGAATTCTCTAATCATCATTCATTAGCTACTAATGTTCATTACCACTGAATTACATCCCCAGCCCTTTAAAAACCAAAAATTCTAGTTGTAGATGGACACAGTACTTTATTTAGTTATTTTTACGTGGAGCTAAGGATGGAACCCAGAGCCTCGAACATGTGAGGCAATTGCTCTACCACTAAGCCACAACCCCAGCCTCCCCAGCCCTTTTTTTTTGAGATAGTCTTACTAAATTGCCAGACTGGCCTTGAAGTTGCAGTGTTCCTGCCTCAGTCTCCCAAAAGCAGTTTGGATTACAGATATGTGCTACTATGCCCAGCTCCATAACTTTTTTCTTATTTGCGATGATTCACAAGTGAGAGACAAAAGCAGCTCCTGACATCTGATAACTAACCTAACACAGCCAGCCACCCTTTGGAATCACTAGGGTTGACCTGGTGCTCACAGCTAAGCCAATGAGTTCTTAGGTTTGACACAATCTCACAAAACACCACATGAGACAAGGTCACTCAGTGACTGTGATGAAGTGAGACCAAAAAGCAAGATCATTTCACAATATCTTTTAAGCACAAAACGATCAATGTGCAAAACACAAAATAGAAACATCCCCAACTCCCAAATGCAGCCTTAGCTTCATTCTAGTCTGCCCTCTTTCTAATTAAGATAATAATCATAGAATGACCCCTGCTTCCTTTGGCAGCACCCACTCCAGAGGATACCCACACTTCCTTGAACCTTTCCCAAAATGTCTTCACCAAAGTCCAAGTCCTCTGAGACCTTTCTAATACCCTCTTTGCTGAGACACACCATGATTCCTAGTGGTATAATCAATCTCTCCTTCACTGCAATAAGCATTGAACTGTATTTGGTGTACTACATGTATATTCCTGGTGACCTTTAGCTGGAGTGCATTAATGCAAGACATACAATGTCCACAGTTTCCCAAATTCACTTCTTTGGAGATACTTGACAAGAAGGAAATAAGGTTGGGACCTGACTTGAGAATTCATGTTGGTATCTATAATCATATTCCTCTCTAAATATTCATAAACCATCTTTTTTAATAATCCAGAATTGTGCCAGAAGATGAACATTAAACTTATCAAGTGTTGTTTCTAAAATTCATAAACAATACTTGCCCACGTTTTTTGTCTTTAGGCCACCCCCCATCTTTGAGACAGGGTCTCACTATGTTGTCTAGGCTAGTCTCCCAACTCCTGGGCTCAAGTGACCCTCCTACCTTAGCCTCCCTAGTAGCTGGGACTACACGCGTGTGCCACTGCTCCCGATTTCATTTTTTTAAGTGACCAGCCTTGATCTAGCCCACCATCTCCAACCCCAGGTGTATAATCTGAGTGATTAACCACACCAGAGCAAAAGGTAGCAGGAGATACAATTAAGGAAGCACATCCAGGACCACTTACTCTACCCCCAATTTTAGAACAGATACCTGAGTTGTTTCCCCTACATCAGCCATGAGCTAAGGAGGGACTGAAGTTTGGCTACTGGGCCTCTGGACTTAATGACCCTTAAGTGGATTTTAAACCTCTGGTCCTTTATGCAGACAGAAGAAAGGGATAAACCCTGAGGCTTGTGTCCCCAGAAGAACTCCCTTTTCCCAGCACCTCCCAAGCCTTGAAGGCTTAAGAGACTGGCCACTGAGAAAGGGCTGGGGTAGAAGGGACAGTAAATGCCATCAACAACTAAGAGAGGCAACTGCCACCTGCCTTGCTCTTTGAATAAGGGAAGGATTTGTCAACTACATAACCTCTCATCCCCATTTCTCAGCACATACACCCTCCTTAGAACTTGCCCCCCTAAATGACCCTAGGAGCCCTGGTTACTAAGGCAACCTGGGAGCAGCACATGCAGACAGAGATCAGAAACAGATGCGACTATTTTTAAACTAGACTAGGTGGCTCCAATGCTTTTCCCCACAAAGTGCTTTCCTCAAAGCCCCATTTGGTCTTGTTCTACATACCTACCCTTTGCTGATTTTCATCCAACTTACCCAAGCTTTGTAAGGGTGGGGTCCTTACCCCATTTTGGCATGAGACCTATTTTATGCTCCCTTCTTCCAGAGAATTTCTAAGCAAGTTTTCACTGCCTCCATTTGTTAAAAATAATTGCTCTTTTATTTCTTTGGAAAGTAGTGGGCCCTGCCCTACAGATTTCCAGGCCAAGCTAGGTTATGTGAAGGCTCCCCTAGTCTTTGAGCTGGAATACTATGGTCCCGATCTTTTCAGGGGCCCAGCAGTAGTTCCTGTATTATCTAACCCAACCGGGCCCCAAATAGTCTCCTATGAGGCCTTCTCTCCTGGCCACCCACTTCCCAATTCTTTCCTGGCTCTCCCTGTGGAGGGATTTTTTTTCTTCCAAAACCAGTGCTAGGACCTGTGCTGTTCACAAGAGGACAAAATCAAGGATGTCCCCAACTTCCGTAAGAGGACATATCCCCTTAGTCAGTCCTTCCTCTCATTGGTTTCAGTCTGCATTCCTATGAAAGCCCCGACTTGATTGAGGCCTGAATAAAGGACAAGAAGACCCCCTTTAAAAGGGTGGTGACAGAACACACCAACCCAACCCCACCTCAGGAAATGCTCCTCAGAAGCATACTCCTTATAGTCTCTTGTCCTAGTCCTTGAGTGAGCCCTTCAGATAGGGCCTGGGAGGGCTAGGGGGGTAGGTAAGGACCCCTCAAACCCAGCCCTGAGAGGCTATACCAGGGGAGTATCCATTAGCCCCATCAATGTGGCATGGCTGTGATGCGCATGCTCTGTGAAGCAATGGGGTAAGTCACCATGGGAGTGGTAGTGTGGCTCATTGTGATTCCTGCCAAGGGTTGGGCCATCGATACAGCCACAGGAGCTACAGGAGCCACAGATACAGCCACAGGAGCCATGGAGACAGGTGGTGGTGCCATTCCCTGGGCGATTGTTTGAGCCAGAGCAGCTGACAGTGGTGTGATCTCTGGGTTCAAATGTGGGGGTGGGGGTGGTGGAGCAGCAGGAGGTGCAGCATTAGTTGGGGGAGCAGCTGGAGCTCCAGTGGGGGCCACCAGTTCTTGCTGGGACACAGGTCGAGGCTGTAGAGCCTGGCTGCTGAGAGTAGTGTGAGTCTGGGCAATGCCATGATTAAAAGTGGCAACAGTGCCCACAGTGGGGGCCAGAGTTTGCTCAGTTGCTGGTGCAGTAGAACTCAGGGTCATGACCTTGGCCTGATTGCGGAACTGGGCATTTTGTTCCAGAAGTACCTCATTAGTAGCCAACAGGTTGCTGACCTGCTTCTTTAGCTCTTCTACACGCTTCCTGAGCATAGCATTCTCCTCCTCTAGCAGTCTGCATTCTACTCCTCGGGGTGGAGCCAAACTATATTCATATGATTCAAAATGGGGGCCATCAGGAGGGCAGCATCCACCTCTCCGGCGCTTGGGCCCTGGCTCATGGTCCTCAAAGCCCCTGTCAGGTAGGTCATAGATATCATAGAGATCATGGCGTCGTCCTGGGGGCACTGAGCCTGTTGAGCCTCCACCACCGGTACCTCCCCCACCCCGAGCATCAAACTCAAAATCCCTTTGCAGGTGACGGAACTTGCACTTGGCTCCTCTCTGACAGTCACCCTTGAGAAAGTCACGGCAGATAGGAACCTCCTCCTTGCCATTTGGTAGGTCAGCCGGTGAAAGCCCCAGGCCAGCAGCTACTTTCTGCCTCAGCCGAGGTGGAAGCTCTCCTGTCTTCTTATAGCCATCCTCATCCTCCTTGGAACCATGAATGAAACGGCAGTTTGGGCGGCTACACTCTTTGTTCTGGAAGTCATGGCAGAAGATGAATTCATTTTTGCTTACCCCCAAGTTGGATACCTCACTCATGTCTGGGTGGCGATATCGACAACGCTTTCCTCTCTTGCACACATTCCTCAGGAAGTCTCTACAGATGGCATCTGAGCTGGCCCCACCAGTGCCTGCTGCTGCTCCAGTGGCCTCCTCACTGCTACCACCTCCAGGGCCTCCACCGCTGCTGCCGGTACCATTGGCATAGCTGTCCCGGTCAGGCATTCTGGCCCCCTCCAACTCAGGGCCTTCCTCCTTCTCTTGCCACTCTTGGTGACTGCTAAAAAAAAGAGAATTGTATTATACAGGAGTCCTTCAGAGATCCCACTTGTCCTGACTATAGAGCAGACAGTCCAGTAGGGCAATGGCTTTGTAGATGGTACATGTAAAGAACGAGAATTCTGGCTGGACTGGTTGATTTGTCAGAAGTCCTGCCCAGGCTGTTGTGCACCTGGTCTTGGTCAGAATGATTCACACTTGCCTGGCTAACAGAGGAGGGAGTTGGGATGAAGCCACCTCATCTCACTAATGGTGATAGGTCAGGGGTAGTGGCAGAGGGAGAGCATAGTGTGGATTTTATCTTCCCTTCTGGGCTGACCTTATTAAAGTTGTGGAAGTGAAATTAAAACTGCTATTGGTTTCTGAATAGGTTGGGAGGAGACCGGGAATAGTGCCCAAGCTGGGCTGCTTAGCTGCTAGGACTTGTGGAGATGGGACACTGGTAATAAAACGTCTCAACTCTTTTCCATGAAATCTTAGGGGAAGGCTCTGAATGCATCATATCTCTAGAACCCAAGAAATCCTGGGTAAAAGGACTGATGTCACCAGCTTGAGGGTAGTCCCTAAACCTACCAATTTTTAATATCCTTTTGTAGTCTACTATCATTCTCAATTCCAGGAAAATCAGCTTCCTCCACTTTAGGGGAGGAGTTCTAAGCTGTAATCTCCACTTCTGGACCCCCTAAACATTGGTAAGGTCAAGATAGGAAAGAGTTAATGTTACAGGAATAAGTGACCTTTCTTTTTCTATTCCCCACCCACCTTTTACCTCTCCATGAAAAGATCCCACTGACATCAAACCACACTATCCCTTATCCCATAAAGATCCTTTTATTTATAGACTCTATAAAAGCTTTTTAAGTCTCCTATTTCCCAAGAGAGCTCTGGAATGTCAGTCCACTGCCCTAGTTATAGCCCTCCCCTCTCTCCACCCCCAAGAAGACAGGGAGTCCCTGCCACCACGTGTCTTAACTTCCTAAACCTTTCCTAGGCAGTGTTCAGGCTCCCTCTGCTGTTCAAATAGGAAAATTTCATATTATTTCCCCTTAAACTTAGGGGAATCTCTTCTGATATCTCTGGACAGTCTACTGACCTATCTTGGTCTTTATATCTTCCTAAATAACCGACCAGGTCAGAGGCCAGAGTTACACAAGAATCTATGTTAAAAAAAAAATCCTCTTCCTTCAAATGGAAGTAGCCCTAAAATAATACAAATGGTAAAAGATACAAACTTACTGAAAGGAAAATGACCAAATGATCCATGTGTTGCAAATACCACCAGATAGAAAACTTGGTATGATACTCCACCCCACCAAACTCTCCCAGAATTGATACCTGAGGTAGCTCAGGTGAAGTCCGGGGCTCCTGTGGGTCTCCACCTCCACATCACTGCTGGGTTCTGAACAGGAAAAAAATAGACACGTGGGTGGGAGAAAGAGTAAGAGTGGAGGACCAAGAGGTGGTTGTCAACCAGAAAGAACTCTGAAAACAGTAAAAGCACTGGAAACTTAAGAATTTCCTTGGGGTTCAAACTGAACTTCACCTGTCAAAGGGAGAAGTCGCCAGTAAGAGGAGTAAGAAATAGAACTGATTCAGAAAACCTGAAAGGATGGACTGAAAAACCTGTATTTCAGTGAACCAAAGGGTGAGGGGGAGCCCTGACTCAAGATGAAGGAGGATATAGGGACCAAAGCCCTGCCTAGGACTGGAGTTACGATCGCTAAATGGCAGCAACTGACAGTGCAGCGGGAAGGCAGATTAGACTTGGGGGCGGTGATTATGACGCTTCCAAGCACCCTAGAGTTTGCGAAAAGTCTAGGAGTTTCCCCGCAGCAAGTCTTCTAGCTTGGTAAGTTCCATGTAGCGCTGCGCTCACTCAGCAGAGGACCAGGTGAATAGGGCACTAAGGAAACACAAAGTAAAGCGGGGAAAGGGAGCCCTAGATGACATCAAGCTGAGATGGGCAGGGCTGTGACGTCACGGAGCTGGCGTTTGCTCGCTAAGCGGGGTCAGTCAGAAAAGGGGGTCTTCCTGGGATGTGAGGAAGAGCCAGCTCCATTCTGGGGGGCTTGTGAGGCCCGGCAGAGCCCAGTCGCTGGGCCGGCCGACTCCTCCCCTCCGGGCGCGGCCTCCACCTAAGTCTCCCGCCTCCCTCACCTGCCGCCGCCGCCGTAGTTGCTGCTGCCGCCTGCCGGTCCTCTAGCTTCGACAAAGAGCCGCCCACCCTGTCGCTCTTCCGCTTCCTGCGGAAGAAGTGACGCTCTAGTCACCAGACCCGGAACTACACTCTATAGCGCACGGAGTAGTTCTGAGAAGCGACACAGGAAGTTCCCAGCAAGCTTTGCGTGTTGCCATAGCAACCCGTTCTAACACCAGTCAAGCACCTCTCAAGCACAATTCCGCACAGCGTACGTCCCTTGCCAAGTAGGGGCGGTGCCGTAATTTTCCCCAAACCTGCCCGCGAACCTCAAAAAGTTTCAAGCACACACAACACCCTCCTCAGCTCCATCCATATGTAGACCACATCATACACCCCAGGCTTTGGCTTTATACGCTTCTTAGCGTTCTCCACAGCACAGGCAGGGAACCGGTACAAACTGTACGACAGAATGCCCACCCAAAGGAACCGAAATAAACACGAAAAAAACGATTTGAATTCTTCAGCTAAAACAGAAGGGATGATTTATTGTACACGCGTTACACTGGCCACAACTGAGAAACGAGTTAGTCCAGAATGCCAAAGGTCCCGGGCAAAGGACCAACAGGGGATGTTAAAAGCAAGGTGGGTCTTCTCTCAGTGGTGATCTTGGCGACGAGGTGGCGATGTAAGTTCTTAAATCCGAGACAAAATGTGGACAGTAGGAGGCAGTCCAACTTGTACCAACGTCCCCGGCCCCTGGCATTCCGTATCTCTACTCCTTTGGCCTCCACGGTGCACAAGCTAGTTTACTTGGACCTCTGCCTCATCTTTCTTCTTTTGCGCTTCAGCCTGAAAAGGAGACACAAGAATACATCTGCCCACACACAAAGTTGTTTTTCCTTCCCACATTAAAATTTACTGAATACATGGCCTAATAAAGTCAACAAGCATCAAAGCGTCCTGCGTTCAGTCCCTGGTTTCGCCAAGGCAATGCTCTGTAACATTTTTCTCCCGCAGTTTTCTTCAAGTTTTACATTTAAACCAAATGTTCCTAGGCGACTTTTTTCAAGGTGAATCGCCTACCATCCTCACCCTGGGCTGATTATGTTAACATACCTGCGCATTCGCTTCTTCCTCCACTAGAAAGTCACAAGAGGCATAAGGAGGGGAAAAAAGAGAATGTCTTATTAAAAGGTTTAAGTAAGGCTTTTAGTCCACTATTTAGAATCGGATAGGTTCCTCACAAAATATTAAAGCCTGGTCACAACAATCATATCAGTATTAGACACATTTACATTTGCATGAAGCTCCAATTCTGCGTTTGTCTACACTTGCCCTACCCAGGACTTCGCTGTCTTCTGCTTCTCCTCCAAACTATGCTGCCTTCTCCCACCATCTCTTTGGCACTTTTGAGAACCCAGCAATTGGAAATTATGGCGGACTTTCCTTGCCAACTCCTACCTCCCCAAGTTCCCTGGTAGGGACCGCTCACCTTGGCTCTCATGGCGCAGAGGTTTCTACAGGGAAAGAGAAATAGGCTAGAGTTAGTTTGCTGTGATGATGGTAAATATAGAGCTCAGATGTTAACGGATTGTACGCGGAATCCGGACAAACATCACTAACACTCACCCAAGAAGATGGCGCTAAGGCCGAGAGAGCGCCAAAGTTCCGCTTGCAGCTATTTAATGGAGCGACAGTAGTCGTCACTTCCGCCGGCCGGCCCTTCCCCTAGAGGTGGGGCTTCCCAATGAAAGCAACAATGGCTTTCTTCCGCCCTCAGTTAGGTGATCCAGCGGTTCTCTTGGGTAGCAGGGTGTTTTGAATGGGAGTTACCAGTTTCCCCCTCCCCAGCCATTTTTGAGGACTTCGTATTATTTCAGCGTGGACATCTATTTCCAATACAAGACCGAGACATGCAGACGGGAAAAAGATAATGGCTTCCGCCTTCCCTCATTGCTTCTTGGGAGTTGCAGTATCTTAGCGAAGTCCTCCATTTTATTATGGAATGGTGGGAGCTGTACACTAAAAATTTCTGATGTATTTTACTGGTTTGTTTTATTTTCTAAGGTAATTTGCTGCAGGGAAATTTGAAATAGGAACTTGCAGGTTCTTAAGAACATGGAAGGATGTAAAGTGGGGAGTCAGGAGGCTAAAAAGAGACCCTTATCACTCACTGTTTGAGGTACGTCAGCCTTTTTCTACAACTCCAAGAATGAAATGGCTGAGTGGTCTTGTGGTCTTTCCCCGACAAGGCCAGAGATAGAATGTCACTAGAGACTCCTGGTCACAACGCATAATTTGTACAGAAAACTGTTAGGGTTGTTTTTAATTTTCGAGATTGGGGATTGAACCGAAGGGCACTCTACACCTGAGTTACATCCCCCAGCCCTTTTTATTTTTTATTTTGAGACGGTTCAAATTGCCATGGATCCTCAAAATTTGCAGTCCTCCTGCCTTAGCCTCCGGAGTCCTGAATTACAGTCAAGGGAATGCAAGATTAGCTAACATCTTTAGGGAAAATATGACATTTGATGTTAAAGAACCTTAATCTTATGATACAGTCAGATACACTGAAAACAACCTCAAAGATTTGGATACAGAGTACTTAAGGATAAAAAAGAACCCTTAGCCAAACAAGGCATTTTACCACTTAAAATAGTGTAAGATTTTTGTGTCTATAATTTCTTCTTCTTTTGAGCAGTTTCCCAAGGTTTTTAAAACTAAGGGTTCTTGTTCCACATGTTTAGATAGTTCTAAAATTGTCGCAAAAAAAGAATGAAACTTTTTAAAATAAAATAAAATCCTAGCAATTATATCAGATCCATCAGGATTGCCAACTAGTCTATAAACTCTGAGGGGAAATGTCACTTTTTTTTGCCCATTCTTCCTCAGTACTGGGGATTGAACCCAGGGGCATTCTGCCACCAAATCAAACCCCTCACCCAGCTCTATTTTATTTATTTATTTAGTGGTGTTGGGGATTGAACTCAGGCAGGGCCTTGTGCTTGGTTCTATTTTATTTATTTAGTGGTGTTGAGGATTGAACCCAGGCAGGGCCTTGTGCTTGTAAGGCAAGCACTCCACCAACTAAGCTATATCCCTAGCCCTTATTTTTTATTTTATTTATTTATTTATTTATTTTTGAGACAGGATCTTCCTAATTGCTTAGGGCCTCTTAAATTCAAGGCTGGCCTTGAATTTGCAATCCTATCTCAGCCTGCTGGGTTATAGGTGTATACCACCATGCCTGGCCCTTTTTAAAAATTTGAGACAGGGTCTCACTAAATTGACTGCCTTGAACTCAAATCCTCATGCTTCTGTCTCCCAAGTGGCAGGGACTGCAGGTATGTACCTCCATCCCTGGCTTTTAACTACTTTTTAAAACATTTATCATAGCAAAACTAAAAGTAGAGAGATTTCTCACAATGGCACAAACCTGTAATCCCAACTACTCAAGAGGCTAAGATGAATCATAAGCTTGAGGCCAGCCTGGGCCATTTAGCAAGACCCTGTCTCAAAAAAATAAAAGAGCTAGGGTATAACTCAGTGATATAATGCCCCTATGTCCCATCCCCAGTACCTCAAAAAATTTATTTCCTCCACCTTATTCCCTGCCCTCACAGTCAGAGTCACCCTCCTTATCAACATCCCCAGTGATATGTTACAACTGACAATCTACATTCACACCAACACCCATAGAACCACTACTTCAGACTAATAGGGTTCACTTTTGGTGATGTACGTTCTAAGAGTTTAGATAAATACAGTATTGTTTTGGTTTTGGTACTAAGAATTGAACTCAGAGGCAGCTAACCACTGAGGCACACCTTCCAGCCATCTTTGTATTTTGTTTACAGACAGGATCTCAGTTTCTTAGAGCCTCGCTAAATTGGTGAGGCTGGGTTTCCTGAGCTGCTGGGATTACAGGAGAGTGCCACCATGCCTAGCCAAATGTTTTTTGTAGTATACATTAATTGTCCTAGTCCTGAACAAATGACAGCAATGAAGGATGCTTCTGCTTCAGAAAATCAAATCACAACCAAAATGCCAGATTTGTTATCTTCAAAGAATCTAGGATTCATGTAAACCCACTATCCCCAATCAATCCTTGTTTCAGAAAGGTACAGTGTAGCATTATAGAAAAACTTCCAAGTTAATCATCACTGCCTGGACTTACACTCTTCCTACCTTTGTTAAAATAAGAGCAACATACAAAGGCACATTATGAGCAAATCCAAATTTATTTTAATGCTATATCACCTTCAATGTGTTTAAAAACCTCATAAGTTAGTGGGAGCCCCGATTCCCGGGACAGCATGCCAGAGGTACTGAAATGTCATCTTTCTCTATAAACCCCCAGCAATTCATCCAATCCAAGTCCATAGCTTCAGAAAGCCAGGAGTTCTCTTCAGTCTACTCCTCTGGTTCCAGGTATTTCTTTCAGGGGAGGGAGGTCAAAATATTTCAAACAGGGAATAAAACCACAGTTGAACTTCCAGCTTAGGTTTTTTGTAAATGGAGGAGCAAGGAAGGCCCCACTGACTCCAGAGAAAAGGACAGGTGAGATGGTTTATTTCTTTACAGTTTTGTCAAGGGTGGGGGGGTGAGCCTGAAGAACAAAAACAACTAAAAAGATTTACAAATGGGAATCCATTTGATAGATGGGAATCTCTTCAGAAATGGAGACTTCAACTTCTAAACATGGGAAGGGCCTGACTAGACAACCTGGATCAGATGAGGAATCTGCTACATATGAATAAAAAACAATCTGAAGAACAGCTCCTCTTAATTTTGAGAGCAGATAAAATACTTGGGGAGAGTGAGAAATCAGACAGAAAAGCCCAAGATGGATAAGAAAATGTTGACATCAGAATGGTATAAAATATTTCAGCTGAGTTTTTAGTGGTGGTGGCTAATTTAGCCTCCTCCCCGTTCACAAACCTTGATCAAGCATAGTAGAAAAGGCTAGAAAGAGGGCTTGAAGACGATGAATTTTGACTCCTGATTTTATTATTCAATTTCTTTCTTTCTTTCTTTTTTTTTTTTCAATTTAAAGTAGTCTTCAGTGGCTGGGAAGCCTGGCCTCCCAAAACCAGAGTCAGTTGGAGCTGGTTGTTGTTGGAAGGGGGTGGGCAGGGGGACTGGGATGAGGGCAGGGAGACCCTGCTCTGCTGGCGGTCCTAGGTGGAGAAGATGAACTGCACTTCACAGAGCCTGGGGTGTAGTGGGAAGGGGATGAGGCTGGAGCAGCAAGATGGGGATATGGGACCCACCTCAGTCCCCAGCTTCATTCTCTTCTAATGTTTCCCCACTGGTGGCATTTTCTGCAGTCTTGGAGGCCTACATTTCAAGAAAAGGAGAAGACGACGCATCAGTTTCTAAATACTTCAGGAATAGTTTCTGGGGGGACCAAAACTAAAAACATCTTGATTCTCTCCATCAAGGCTAAGAGGAGTGATATCAGGATATGCAGAAATCTATACTCCACCAAGACACAGGAAGGTAGAATAAAGAGTACTCAGGTTCCCCTGCCAGAAGAGGACGATCAGAACACACCTTCTTTTTCTTTTTTTTCTGGGTTTTCCGACTTGCAGAACTCTGCAGGAGGGCCTAAAAAACAGAACAAAGAAGGCAACAATTTTTGAGGAAACAGCGTTCTAGCACTGCAGCACTTCTCAAGGTTTCATCACAGGACAAGTGCCACATGTTCATCACTCTCCATTCCACACTAACCTTAAGCTCTGCATCCTGGACCTCCATCTCAGACTTATAGAGGTCAGGCTCAAAGGGACCACTGGTTATCCGCATGGGGCCATTGGGCATGAGCAGAACTGTAAATTTAAACTGGGCAACAAATTCACCTATGAGGAAAATGAAGATTATTTCGATAAAACATTCCTTTGTCAATCTAGCTCTTTTGTGAAGCTATGGGAAAAGGATGCCATATAATCAGGGGCTCCAAAGTGAAAATCTCATGTCAGAACTCACCCTCCTTCTCATAGAGAACATTAAATGGTTGCAGCAGCTCATGTTTGGCACATTCTACCACACCCATCCGAGCCTTCTTCTCATCTTCAAATGCTCTAGGTAGGGAAAAATGGAATTCAGAGATTTCCTCACTCCCCACCAAAAGATGGCTTTCTTTTTTTGGTGGTGCTGGTGCTAGGGATTACACACAGGGCCTCACATGTATTAGGCAAGTGCTCTACCATTGAGTTATACCCCTAGCCCCATTTTGCTCATGTTTTTGGATCATGCCTACCCTCAGGCAGAAATCATGTTTAGGATTGCTTTTATATTACCTTCAATGAGTAGACAGGGAGAGAATGGAAGAGAGGGAGCTAGTATATGCATGCACCAGCTACAAGTCTGGGCAGGAGGGAAGAGGAAGGGAAGGATATAGGAAGGAAAAGTGTTCCTGAGTACAGGGTCTGAGTCAGAATGGTTTCAAGTCCTGTTTTTACTAAAAGCAGTACCTTAAAGTAAATGGCATGGCATCAAAACGCCTTTCCACCTCACTGAAAAAGGCACGTGAAGTTTTCATTTTCAGGCCATACTGTTTAGAGGGGTCTCGTTTGTAAATGGTGGTTCTCTGTCCCGCATCCTTGGCCTAAAAGAGTTAAGTCAGGTCACATTTGTTCTGGTGAACATACCCTCAGCCAGCCATCCCTTCTGGTAACTCTGCTACTCTCCTCACCTTGCCCTCTCCTGAGCTGACGAGAACATCCACAGCATATACTTCATGTACCTCAAATTCGGCCTTTTCATGGTCCTTCCTAAAATGAATAGAGAAAAAGGGAACGGTTGAGAAGAATAAGTAGCTTCTAAATTTGGGGTTGAAGGTGGATATGATTAAGTTGGAATTATGGAAAAAAGCTTAGTGACTACTCCGGTATGGCAGACAGTGAAGAGAGGGGTTGGTACCTACTTCTGTTGGTCTGTGGGATTCTGAATGATGGTTTTCTCTCCATCGATGACATGCTGCTTCAACTGGTGTGACAGCATACCTGTGGACAGGACAAGGCCCGTGGTACCAGCTATCCAGAATTAAAAAGGATTCCAAATCCACCCATTTTTGACAATGTAAGCAATGTGCCTGGTTATGGAAACAGGGCACTGAGGTTTCTGGCTTAGACTGAGCTAAAGCCAGGATGGATCCTTAAGGGAGCAAAATCCCTAAGTCTGCTAAACCACTCATTCTTAGACCCTCAACCCTGTTATCTGAGGTCTCACCTTCTATTGGCGTGCAATTAAATGAATGGGCAACTTTGTTCCAGGCTTCTGTCACTTGGGTGTTCTAGAAGTACAAGATCAAATAAAAGGTAAGATATCAGGGGCTAATAAGTTCTCTATCACAAGAACAAGAAGCATAAAAGTTGGAGTTCTAATATCCTTCAAGTGCCAACAAGTCCCATTCATTGGTTTTTCATTTTATCATCCCTAGGCTAAAAATCTTATATTTACCTATTATTCTATGAAATACTTTCACAAAAATGATCTAATTGAGAACAATTCTCAAAGGGGAAAAGGACAGAACTATATCTATACAGAAGATGAGGAAACTGAGGCTTAGAAAGATTGACTGACTTGCCCAAGGTTAAACAAGGAAGGACCTTCCTTAACAGGAAGAACCTGATCTAAACCTGGGTTTTTCTGTGTGAAGTCCAGTTTTTATTCCTTTATGCCAGTCATTTTATCTGTTGAAAGGGGACAGCAAGACCTTTTTTCTTCTTTACCTCTTTCACATGTGATCTGATCCTCACCTAAGCTACTAATTTAGACCCCCTCACACCAAATCCATTCTCACAACTCTGCAAACAAGACAAAATTGTATTTTTCCCATTTCACAGATGAGGAAATTTGAGTTCAAGATTATTTTAATCAATAAGAGTTGGTGATAGGGTAAAGAACCCATCTGATTTCAGATAAAAGTAGCCACAATACCATCTTCCTATGAAAATATATCACATATAAATATGTAAAATAAAACTAACACCTAATTCAGAAGTTTACTATACACGCAGCAGAGTTTAAAGGGTTCTATAACAACTCTAAAGCTAGATATCATTATAAGGAAATTAAACAGTAGGAAAAAATGCAATTAAATGATGATGAAGTACAAATTAATTAAAAATGTGAGGAAAAAAAGCACAAAGAAAGAAATTTTTAAAGATAATGCTGGGGCAGGAGTAGCAGCTCAGTGATAGAGTGCTTACATAGCATGTGTAAAGTACTGGGTTGGATGCCCAGTACCCAAAAAAAGTGGGGAGGGGAACCCAATGCTTTTAAGTATTAAATGGGTCTCTGGAAATATCTCTATTGATAACCTAACATGTTTAATTCTGTTAGTTCATGAGAACTTTTATCATTCCCAGACTTCCTAATATCGTCTTGCAAAACGCATTGAATAGCCGGGCATGGTGGCACATGCCTGTAATCCCAGCTGCTTGGGAGGCTAAGGCAGGAGGATCAAGAGTTCAAAGCCAGTCACAACAAAAGTGAGGTGCTAAGCAACTCAGTAAGACCCTGTCTCTAAATAAAAATACAAAATAGGGCTGGGGATGTGGATCAGTGATTGAGTGAACTTAAAGTACAGAATAAATTTTGGCCTCTCTTTGACATCAGTGTATTGGTACTATTGTCTCTTTCCTATTATTTTTATGACTTTTATAAGCTTTTAAGTTGGGGTTTTAAAAAATTTGTTTTGCTGTTAGCTATATACCTCTTATTTTTGAGAAAGATGCACATATAAACAAGAAAGGACCACTATAGGCTGGCTCCATATATCCATATATGGGCTCATATATCTCCAGATATTGTCTGTGATAGGTACTCATAGTTAAACTGCTGTTTAGTATCAAGCACTTTAGTTACTGCCTCTCTTCTTTAAGAAATTCCATTGCAAGATACAATTAAAAAAAAAAAAAGATACAATTCCACACATAGTAGCTATAGATGTCTAATGCATCTTTGGTTCCATCAAGGTTTGAGTTAAGAGAAAACACCTTACCTGGTTTCCAGGTTTGACCAGGCGCAGGGCAGCTTCAGCACAAAGGTGAGCTGCCTTAATGACATCTGCTTTCCGTCCTGTTACTTGGGTCCCCTGTAGATAAGGAAATATAAACAAACAGTGATTTCCTGAAAAGCTTGCTAATGCAGCTGGCTATTTAGCTAATATATTTCTGTACTTATATACAAGGCCAACCAATAAACATGTGAAAAAAATCCTTTTTCTAGGCACTGTCAAAATTGATGTGGTACTAGAAGATGGGGATAAAAGGCAAATGATAATACATCTCCCCACCAAGACTGAGTAGAGTTCAAGAACAGGGCACCTACCTCAGCTACACCAACCACAAAAGTATGAGCCACATTAGCAATGAAGCCATCCACATGGACCCCAAGGTCACTGAAAGGCAAGAGCAGAGCACTGCATTGGAACTGGCACTATGTAAATGCTTAGGGAAAAAACAAATACTCTAGAATGGTTTAACCTTACATTTTTACCAAGTCACCTTCCTTGAGAATATAGTCCTGGTCACTCTTCAAAGGGGAGAAGTGACATACACAGTTATTTACCGAAATGCTGGTAGGAAAGGCAATACCTGTAAAAAGAATCACCAGCCTTACTATCTTGCTCTCTTTCCAGAGCCCTGTTGCCCTTTAGAAAAATGAAAAGTTCTTTGTTTTTTAGTTTTTTTTTCCAGGGACTTGCTTAAGCTCAGTAAGTTTGGATTGGGTAGGAAATGCTATCCTACCCGGCACTCCAAATTTTCAAATACCTCAAACATAACTGGGGTGGGGATCACACAATTACAATGGATAAAAAAAAACCAGAGGACCAAATAAGGGTCAAACTTGGAAAATTAGGGAGGGAATCTTTTTTTTTTTTTTCCTTACCTTTCTTCATTTCCTTTTCTTTCTTAAAGATTTTCCCTGTTTCTTCCATAATCATGTTATCGCCTTTCTCACATAGGCTCAGTACCGACACACCTGGACTGGATGCTTCCACCAAAGATCGAAGTACCCCTGGGGACACAATACCACCATCTCAGCTGTGCATATATTTATTATCTAGTTACCACCCAAGTTGGACTCAAAAATTTTAATACTCCCTAGTGTCATTGTCCTGACGTTGAAGGAGAAAACAATTCTTGGCTCTTGGAATCTATCTACTTACAATCTCTAATTTCTACCTTCTTTTCCTAAAAATGGAAAAAGCCAACACTCCTTTTTCTCCCTCACATTATGTGACAACTGGGTATATGTAATCTGTCTCCTTAGGCAAGGCCTCAAACTTTCCAAAGATCCCTTTGTGTGTTAAGATAGAATTATGAAGTTCATCGGGCTCTTGCCAAGGTACCCCACATACATGCCAAGCAGATTAGAAGAAATTTATAGGCATCAGAGGCAATGGGAAGGTAGACAGAATTGCTGACTCGAAGCTGATGCACTGTTAAATGTTACCTTCTTCTCTCCTTGTCACTCTAATTAGGTGTTAGTAATCGAAATTATATGTAGACTTTTTCTTCATAAATAAGTATATAAGCCAAGAGGACTTAATCTAAGGATCCTGAGCTCCAGGGGGGCTCATGGGCTATTACTTTCAGTAGATATCAAAGAGGTATGCGATCTCAATTTCAAAATTGGTATCTGAGATCACCAGTGCTTCAAATTATGCATTGCAAGAAAGAGGAAAAACTTCTTTTTTCAGATTTAAACCATGAGTATCAACACTAAAAACACATCAAAAAGGAGTCTGTACATTTCCTATTATCATCCATCCTGAAATTTAGGTTTGATTTTTTTTGAGAGAATTTTAATATTTATTTTTTAGTTTTCGGCGGACACAACATCTTTGTTTGTATGTGGTGCTGAGGGTCGAACCCTGGCTGCACACATGCCAGGCGCGAGTGCGCTACGGCTTGAGCCACATTTCCAGCCCCTTAGGTTTGATTTTTGAGATCTGTTTTGATGATTGTTTGGAAGCCATAAAACCTGAAATTTTCAGCCACAGGACTAAAAGCATTCCAGATATCTCCTCCCAACTATCTTTACTGTCAAATTACTTAAAAAGTTCAAGGATAAGCAGTTTCTATCTCCCTAAGTGGGTTTTAAGTTTTAAAAGTGGAATTAGAAAGAGAGAAAACAGAAAGTTGAGACATCTGTCCAGAGTAGCGGGCAACTCCTAAGAAAACAAATGGAATAAAGACAACTTATGACAATTCTATAATCAGTCTCCCCTTTTCTAGTACTGTTCACAAACTTGCCTAGTTGGAAGGAGAGCAGAACCTCAAAACACTGTCAAGTCCCTGAGAACAATCAAATTTAAAGGCTAAGGCCATCTGCACAGATTGGAGCGATGGTAGATATGAATAACTTCCAGAAAAGCAGACATTATCTCCAGGAGTTGTGTCAGAAGGTCCAGGAGTGCCTTCCAACGGTCCCCAGAGCTAAACCTAGGGTAAAAGGGGGCCCCCACCAGGGTAAAAGCCGAAGTAAAGAAGGAAAGGCTCTAGTAAAGCACGTGGTGGAAGCTGGTGTCAGGGACTGTAGCAGAGGAAGAGAGAAGACAGCGACTCGCATGGGGTCTGAGCAACACGTGCCGGCTCGGCTCCTGACCGCCGGGAACCGCAACAAAACAGAGTGCTTCTGACGCCAGCAGCTGGGCGCTTCCTTTTGGAAGTGGCCTCGCTGCTGCCAGAACCAGAGAAGGCTGAGAACAGGAATGAAGGGTGAGGGGCTGTAAAGGACGCGCCTTGCCTCCTTCCAACGGCCTAGAGTCTGGGCCTGCCGGGGGGCCCCTCTCTGCTCTCCTCCCGGACGCAGGCCCGCACCTCCAGACTCCAGCCCAGGCCTGGCCACTGCGTCCCCGGCGCGACACCGGGTCTTCCCACCACGCCACCCCCCGCGGGCCGGTGCGCGCCCCTCGGTAGCTCACTCCGCAAGACCCAGCCGCTCCAGCCCCTTTGGGGATAGACCGGCACCTCTCCCTCTCAGTCTCGACTCCCAGACCCCTGAGGCCGCACTCACGGTTGGCGATGTCGCCCCCCATCTTATACTTGGTCACGACCAGGTCCTCGGCGATAGTTTGCTCCTGCTGCTCGTCCTCGCCCGACATCTTCTTACTACCACCACCAATGCAGCCTCCTTTCCCCTGAGCCGCCTCCTGTCTCCCTTCACGGCCGCACGCAGTGGCCAAAGCCTCCTCGATCCGCGAGCAGAGCGCGAGCAAGCAAGGGAGCGGGCGGGCAAGCGGCGAGAGCGAGAAGCTGCGAGCGCGCGGGTAGAGGCGCAGAGCACGCTGGGACAACGAGTCCAGCCTTCCGCCAGCCTCCAGCTGCCCTCGTGCACAGGAGAACTACAACTCCCAACCTTCCCCTCGCGCCCCTCCGCCAGGCCCTGGGGCCTTGCCCTCCCAGGGCCTCGCACGCCGGAATCGCCGGGCACGCTGGGAAGGGTCAGGCTCCGGCGGGAAGGCGGAGCCGTTGGGGAGCATGAAGGAAAGCGTGGTCTCTCCGGGAAAAAACCACATCCACCCGAGCGCTGAGCCGGAGCCCGTAACAGAAGGAGGCGGGCTGAGGAAGTAGGGGCGGAGCTACCCGGGGAATGGGTTTAGAGTCGGTAGGGGCAGGGTGGAGCCGAGGTGGATGGGCAATGTCTACACCTAGGGCGGGGAGCCTGGCCGCGCAGCCTTGGATCCCTGGATCTACAGGCGCGACCGGCCCAGCCAGTCTAATCGTCCTCGAACGCTGGGGAGGAGCACAGCGGACGTGGAAGGACAAGGAAGGGTGCTGAGAGCAGGGACTGGGCAGCGAGGCCAACTTGGGCAACCAGACTCCGAGGGATTGTCTATTTACTATGTCCTCCCTACGCTGAGGCTCCAGACTCCCACAGAAGATGGCATTTATTATTCCAACAATAGCCTTTGATGGAACACCTCAGGGAAATGTTCAAGAAGAGAGATTTGTTCACTCTAAAGAGAACTGTTCTGAAGTATCCGAGGTTTCATTATTACACTTGCGAAGGAGAAAGCCCATCTATAAAGCTTTTTCTAACTTTCTTAAGCATGCGGTTTTTTGTTTTGTTATTCCTAGTTGTTGCCTGTGTAATGAGTCCTAGTAAAAACCCTTAAAAAAAAAAAAAAGACTGTCCTCTATGATTGCTTTAAAGGAATACAAATAAAAATGGTATTGGAGAAAGTTGGATGGGATAGAGTAGGACTGTCTGGAGACAGAGAAAAGCAGCTATTCACTTCTGAGGAGCAAAGAAAAGGAATGCTTTCTTATCTCACAAAGTTTTCATTTGACAAACAAGAAGCTGAAAAAACTTGGGCATTTTTATTCAGACATGTATAAAAACAAAACAAAAAACTTCACTGATACAACAGACATTTTTTCCCCAGTCCCATCCAAGAGGACAGAGGTCTGAAGATAGACTTCTTTATGTTCCACCTGGAAGCTTCTCATTACTGGATCAGAATAGCTCCTAAAAGTGCGTCTTGGAGACCTTTGTGAATCAGTTCATAAGGAGTGGAGATCATTGACAACACAAATGAGCTATGGTCTACACAAAGGTGTCCAGTTGTATTTCTTTCTGAGCCCACCGCGCCATGCATACACACTTCCTGAAAGCACAAATCTGAGTGTAGAATGAAGATGTGGCTATTGGGGTTGGGTTTAATTCAGTGCAAAACCAAGAAAACAATGCCTTTTACAAGGGCTCCATCATACAGTATTCCTTGACACCTTATAAGAGTGAGTGCACTGGGACTGAAAAATTTTGAATCTTCCATCTGCTGCTTCATTAATTTCTTCAAAGCTCAGTCCCCACTTACGGTTTTTCTTTCTACAGTTTCATTATCTGTAGTCAACTATAGGTTGAAGATGATAAATGGAAAATAAACAATTTATATAAACTGTACACCATTCTGAGTTGCATGATGTAATTGCATACCATCCTGCTGTCCGGAGAGGTGAATCACCCCTTTGCCCAGTGTATCCACACACAGTATAGGCTACCTGCCCCTTTGTCACTTAGCAGTCCTCCATTAGACTTTTGTAGTATCACAGTGATTGTTTACCCTTATTTTACTTAATAATAGCCCCAAAACACAAGAGCTGTGGTGCTAATAGTTCAGACATGCCAAATAGAAGCCCATAAAAGACTTCCTTTAAAATGAAAAGATGAAAGTCCTCAATAAGGAAAGAAAAAAGATAATATGCTGAGGTTGCTAAGATTCATGGTAAGAACATAACTATCTGAAATTGTGAAAGTGGGGGAAAGGAAATTAGTACTAGTTTTGCTGTCATGCTTCAAACTGCAAAACTTATGGCCATAATGCATAAATGCTTAGTTAAGATGGAAAAGGCATTAAATTATAGGGCTTGGTACTATTTGCATTTTCAGGAATTGACTGGGTTTTAAGTTGTTGTTGGTTTTGGTACTAAGGATTGAACCCAGAGGTATTCTATTGTTGAGCTATATCCCCAGACCTTTTCATTTTGTTTGAGACGGTATCACTAAGTTGTCCAGGCTGGCCTCAAACTTGTGATCCTCCTGCTTCAGCCTCCTGAGTTACTTGGATTACAGGTATGCTACTACCTAATCCCAGTTTCACTGGAATACCTGATGGAACTACTATATAAGTAAAGTGGGATAATCTTTACCTTACAAAATTGTAATGATTGTAAAAGATTATGTGAGATAATGTAGGCAAAGTTTAGCATGATGATTGGCTCATAATAAATGCTCAATTGATAGTAGTATCTCCTTCTGTTTCTTCATTCCACAAAATTTTAAGCTTCCCAGTCTTTCCAGAGGATTAAGAGTCATAAACCAAAAATTTACTTTCCTCTTCCAGGTTTCCCCCTATCCTTTCCTTAGGATACTCTGATGGGAAGTAAAAGCACACATAACAGTCTAATCCAAATAAGTAAGAGCCTGAGAGAAAGGGACCAGGGGAGTGATCCTTCATATCTCCAGGGTGTTCCCCCTGAGGAAGCTGAGGAATGGGATTGGAAAAGCACACAAAATAGGAAAACCTTCTTCTTTCCTGGGGTTGGGAAAGAGAAGAAAGTGCACAGCCAGGTACATACCACAAAATTTTTGTGTCAAAGTCTTTAAAAGCCTCCAAAGGGTTGAATGGAATTGTCTAGTACTGGAGAAATAGGGCTGAAAAGGGGAGAGGGAGTACAGAGAAGAGGGGTACCCTCTAGAGGCACTAGCTGCCATCAAATGCTCCTTGAATGTCTCAGGGAGCAGAGGTTATGTTCTCTGGGCATTAGCCTTAGGGAAAAGCCTGCTATGCCAGTAATCGGGGTTATCAAAAGCGGAGTCAGTAGCTTCTAAGCTACGTAGAGTTTTGAGGCGGGCATAACGAACATGAGGAGTTTGGTGTCCAGGTCCCTGGAAAGCTCTCATTTCTTCATACCCTTGTTCAGATGCTGGACAGGCCCCCATGGTTGCATATTCTCCACCTGGACCACTTCCACCACGCCGCCGATTCATATATTCATAGTCTTCATCTGGAGTTGTGCCAGCAGTAGGCATGATGGGCACAGGGTGGAGTGGGCAACTCTGTGTGCTGCCCAGCGAGGCACTAAGGTCTGATCCCACATCCATGTACTCATAACCCAGCTCCTCAAGGGAACCAGGCCTAGGAGGACAAGGTGGACTGTGCCTTCTCTTCCGGTTCATGTATTCATACTCCTCATCTTCATCTTCTTCTTCAGTACCCAGGACAGAACTGAGACCCACTGAAGAAAGAGTGCCTTCCCGGGAGGAAGAAGTACCTAGGATTGAGAAGAAAGAATAGGAATGTGAACCTTATGGCAATGGGCAGAAATGGGTAGGGTAAATTAGAAAAAAATGAATAGAGAGGGATGTGATCAGAGAAGTAAAAGAATTAAGAGGACCTCTGATAAAGGATTAGAGGAAGATTTGAGGAAAGCCATGGAAAAGTCAGGCACCTTTGAGGTGTGTATCTGGCATGACATAACCATTGATATCTTCTTCCTCTACCCCTGGTGGGGAGAGTGGGGTGACAGGAGTAAGCAGGCTGTGGCGCTGGGAATGGTAGGCGCTATCTCCACGTGGCCGTGGGCTCCGGCTCCGGCTCCGGCTCCGGCTTCTACACATTGACACCTTCTCTGTGAACTCAACCTCAGATCCTGTCACATGGCCCTCTGATGACTCTGATGCCAGGCGTCCTCGTGGCACTGGGTGCAGAGAGACTGGACGGGGACACCAATCACTCCCCCCACAAGCTGCAGAATCCTAAGGAGAAAAATAATATAAGGAGATTTATACAAAGATGAGGAAAGAAGAGATGTTTGTTTAGAAGGTTAGGATGTTCAGTTCCTTCTTTTTTTCAGAATACAGATTCAACCTTAAAGGTTTCTAATGTCTCCCACATTACCCTTATCAACCCTATCAAATCCCTAAGACTCTGCCACTCTGCCCAGCAGGCCTTACCTGGCAAGCCTCCCCAAGGTTACTCTGATTCATGGGCATGTATCCAGATGATGGACTTAAAAGGCTCTGGCTCTAGAATGAAAAAAGTAATGAAAGGTTAAAATGAAGAGAGAAATCTATTTTTACCATAGGATCCTTTGATTAGTTAATCTGGTATCTTTGTGGTTAATGAGGGCTCAGGGCACACAGTATCTTGGGCAATTAGAAGGTGTCTTACCCCACGTGGCCGACTAAGTGTTCCAACTGGTAGGCTGAGGGCAGAGCCCAGTGTGGTTGCCAGGCTGTCCTCCTCTGCCTCCAAGTCTAGGTCTAGGTCAAGTTCTGGCTCCAACTCTACTTCCTCCAGTTCCTTGTTTGACAAAGCAGGGGGCTCCGCCCCAGGTGGTATTCCAGGCCCACTCTCTCTCTATAGGGGAAGGTGATTGTTAAGTGGATCCTGGTTCCAGCCAAGTTCTCTTTTCTCTAAATGTCCTTGATATCTCTTAGTCCCTGCTCACCTTTATGACAAGATACCTTGGTGGATCACGGGCCATCCTGGTAAACTCATTTGCTAGTTCTTTAAAGGTTGGGCGAATATTCTCATCAATCATCCAACCTGGGGGTAAGATGGAGCAGGTAGTATGAGAAAAGGAAATACAGCCATAGAGGAATAGGGAGGGAAGTCAGAAATGGCTGAGGTCAACAGGTAACTCACACTTGACCATAACCATGTAGACATCAATGGTGCAGATCTGGGGCTGTGCTAACCGCTCCCCCTTCTCTAGCAGGTCTGGTACTTCAGCCAGTCGGAGCCCTGCATAGGGCTCGGCCCCAAAG